TAGCGCGTTGCCCACAACCCTTTGTGCTTCGCTTACAACGGCACCGTTGTGGCAGCGGCAGGTAGGGCCCAGTGTTTCCACCTCCAGACAGCGGTGGGGTGGGGGCGGGGCGGGGGAGCGCTAATAAAAATGGACTCGGGGAACCACTTCTTTATAACAAAAAGCCTTCCTTCGAACATCAGTTCGGAGGACTCCGCGATACGACGAGGGACCGCGCCAGGCGCTCTGGAGGTCCCTTGCCGTCCTACGTGGCCTAAATTATTCTTCCAGGAAGGCGAGGTGTCAGGTAGCAGTAACCCCCGTGTCTCGGGAACCGGATTCCTATTTACTTCTCAACACTGGAAAAATTATTTTTGTAGCTGCAGAAGTTTTCAAGGGCATATTGAAGACATGGAGCCTGGGGCTGGGGGCACCGCAGGAAGGAGAAGAGAAATAATTAACAGACCGAATGGCTCCACATTCCTCGAAACAAACTCGGCATACAAACGCGGGGATGTACAGAAAAGACGAAGGGCAAATGTGTATTTTGATCGAGAAATCTTTTCTTGAGAAAAACCTTCACTTGCAAGATCTCTTTAAGCAGTTTGTTTCTCCAGGGTACGGAAAATGATTCAATCTTCAAACACCTGAGTCACATTTTTCCCAGAAACACCTCTGTGGTATCTCAATGTGGATCTTTTAAAAAGTGAAAGGGTTTTGGCAGCTGAGCCGTGTGGGAAAAGGGTGGGGGAAAGAAACATGAACCAGAATTGTTTGTTTTTTTCCAGGGCCAGGGGAGGGGCATAGACTATCTATATTTACGTATACAGGGTCCGGATGGGGTGCGGTTGGAAGGGTATACAAATGTCTCACACGAGACGGACAGCTATTTGACCATTTCACCTAAATTGTCCCATGGTGGGCTTGCATGTGATGTTATGTTACAGAATTATGTGCTTATGGTTTTGTAATAAAAGAGTTTGTGATTAAAAAAAGGGGACACATTTGTGCCAGACCCTGTATATGTATATTTTTTCCTCACTGAATCTGGAAGCTTCTGTATTTTGGGCTCGCTCATAGTTACGGATGAAAGGTGCTGAAATGGGGAAGCCTTTCTTCTATCGCAGTGCAGGTTAAAACGCTCGATTGGAAATAAGATCACTGATCCCTTCTTACTGATTTATAAACCTTGACGGACATTATAACCCATCATAGCAGAGTACAAAGAGCATTCCAAACAGGTTCATGGGTCTCCTAAGATCTTCATAAATTCAGCAATACTTACACATTACCTAGGAGAACCATAAAAAGACATTTCAAAGTCTTTTTCGTGACACGCCCGGGACACAGTAAACATGCGCTATAAAGCACAACTGGTTATACCGTGAACTTGGCAGCCACACCTGAGACCTGGTGCGTATACCAAGGGTTCCCCTCTCTTTTTTTATTTTTCTTTAAATGAGAAGTCACTTTCCCTGTCCCAACTCTCTTGGGGTCACAGAAAAGGGAGGATGGGAGGTGAGTGGGGACCAGCCACCCGCTGGGACCAGCGCTCTCCGCAGCGATGTTCGGCCTTCTTCCATTGCACAGCACATGTAACCTAGTTACTAAAACTCTGCGGGCACACCAAAAAATAGGGTTTTTTGCAGAGCGGACAGAAAAAAAAAAAGGGTATACTTTTGATTCATTCACACCAGCTGTCTATTGTGTTGGCTCTTGTCATTTTTTTATTTGACAATCTAAAGGGGAAGAGGTCAGTGCCCCTGCGTAAATGGTCAGGTAGTGCGCATTGCAGAGATTCTTGCGCCTTGCCGGGTGACAATCGCTCACACTGCAGAAACTGGAGGGGACGGAGTGGCAGGGATGGCAGCCAGCCTGGGGACTTACCAAGTCTGGGTTCACGGTCTGCTGGTGTGCTCGCGCCTTTGCTGGGGACCTCCGCGGCCCCTCTTGTGCAGGACACATGATGTGTGGCCCGCGTGAGGCACGACGTAAGTGCTGAAATTCTGTGTACATTTAATTATTAGCATGAACGGAAGGTACTGTCATTGTTTAACTCAGCCGACCTTTTAAATGGATAACCAACCTTGAGGCTTAATTGGATTTTAAAAAAAAAATCAATTTCTCGGCATCACACAGTGTGGGAACGAGGTGCTACATTCTCTGGCGATTGTAAAATCAGTTTTGCCCGAGACCATTAAAAAAATTTTTTTTTGTTTTATTTACAACGTTCAAATGACACGACCCATCCTGGTAGGTGCTGGGTGCATCCATGTACCTTTCTTAAACCACCGCAAATGCCCACGTCTGCGCCCCAAGCCCCATCACAAAGGAATCATTCCTTTCCATCAGTGGGAGGCTTAGTCATCAGCAGCCATCTCTTTGTACCAATTACACAAAAAACTGAGCTGGGGATAATGACACATCACCGTCTGCAAATCTCTCTTAGCCTCAGTCGGCTCTCATCTTTGTACCAGGAAAAAAATCCTTGAGGAAGCTTTTACCAAATCACATCTTGACCATTAAATCTTTCTTGAAGAAGGTCATTTAATTTCATGCAAAGAAATGAACGATTAAAATGGCAAAAGCAGTCCTGGTCCAGAATGAGAAAGAGGGAAGATTCTAGGTCCCGCCTGGGGTCACAGCAGCCCTGCGACCTCGGCAAGCCCTCACACGGGCCTCCAATCCCCTTCTGGAACGCGGGGGCGGGGGGGGCACTGGGGTCCCCACTCAAAGCGCCACGGTAAAGACACCGCGGGCTCCCTCACGCTCCCTCTGAGACGGAGGTCGAATGACGCCAGTGAGGACCCTCTTGCCTCCACGGTGGCATCTTTTTGTAAAATGAAACGGTGATTGCTAATGGCGGAATTTGGATGATTAGCTAAAAGCACTTCTAGAACAATAGTTGACAAGCAGAAAACGCCAAACCCAGTGGTCTATTCTAACTAAGCCTCGTTTCATGGACAGTGTTGAACGGATTCTCCTTGAAATGGTCCCTTTGACCCAGATGCTGGGGGCTCAAGTGCAGGCTCGGGAGTGCAACTACCCCGAGCACCTGGGACCGTCCAGGGAGCTCATGAGGACGACTGGACAGAGGGCTATTTTCTTTCCTCAGTTGGCCAGGTAATTGTGACTGTGGAATGTCCCTCTGTGTTGTCAGAGGAGTCCCCGTAGGCTGGCTGGATGATGTCACGGGCGTGGAGGCGGGGGCAGGACGCAGAGGAGCCACGGCCACCGCCATTAACCGGGAGGCCTGACTCTGAGCCGCTTTCTGCCGCACTGGAAGCTCCCCCGCGCCACCTGCTCGCGTCCTCGCCGGCCTCGCTCTAATGGCCGTCATTCAGCAGGGGGTGGTTTTGCCCTCAATTTCAAAACAAAACTAAGCAAAAACAGCACGCAACAAGTTAAGAGGGGGCGTCCGGGGTGGTGAGGGGAACATGGAGAGAGAAAAATTCGTTTTTAAGGGCAAACACACAGGAGTCGACTGTTCGAGGCCCACAGTGCCACGGACGCGGTGTCAAGTTCCAAAGCGTGGCTGATGTCAAATGAACCAAGTCTGCCTAACTGAATCTGAGAAGAAATGGAAATTTCACCGTGGAATCAGCACCCCTGAACCGCTGTCCTGTTCTCCCCCACGAACAAACGCGTGTCCCTTCTGCAAAGCCGTGGCATCCAACGCTCCACCTGGCTCCCACGCTTAGACTAGAGGAAGGGACCCCATGACCGAAAGTGAGCCCACGTGGAGAATACCGCGTGGAGAACATGCCATGCTTTGAAACGCAGGGACAGATTGCGCTGGGCCGGGTGAGCGGTGGGGTGCAGGGCGCACAGCTCCAACCAGCAGACCAGGAAGTGGCTGAGGGGACTCAAGCTGGGCGTTAGGTGCAGGGTTCTTGAAGGACGTTCTCAACGGTCAGCAGGGCGAGCCTACGCCCACACTGCTCTGCCGCCACCTGGGCGCCAGAAGGGAACCCCGACACCCGCACTCCGGGCACACCCGAGGGCCAGGCCGGAGCCCGCTGCCCGACACGCCGCGTGCCTGGTTGAGCCTGCGGCACTACCTCAAGAGCGGGCCACGAAAGACGGCCAGGAAAAGCCCCGGAGGCGGCCCCACGAGCAGCGGGTCACCCCCGCTGGGCTGCCCCGTCTGCGGCAGGCCTCGGCAAGGCGCAGCTCTTCAGCGCTGTTGCTGGTCTAGAATGTTCTTGAGGCCTAAGGGACATGTCTATGCTGTGGGTGGCTGTTGGGCAGCTGCAGGGAGGTCACGTCTGGTCACAAGCGAGGAGAGAGCCCGGGAAGAGGAGGGCACGCCTGCGCTGTGGCCCCGCAACAGGCTCGGGAGGTCAGAAGGGCCACAGACAGACACCAGCAGCGGGACGGACTCGATGCCCAGCTCGCCAAGGTGACTCCTCAGAAAGACGGCCCCTGCTTTTGTGCGGATGGACCCGGGTGTCTAACTAAAAAGACACAGATGCCCACGGCGCCTCCATGGCATCTCCCATCGGGACACGCGCATGACAGCCAGCGCATTGTTGACAAAGAACACCCTGGCCTTGGAGGAGGGGACACGGGCACATGGACATCTGAGGGGAAATAGAGCCGTGGCTTCGAGTTCAACGAGCAAACACCATCCCTGGAGTTTTCAGCGTCATGGGGTAGGAAACGGCCCGAGGCATTTAGAAGTTTACGTCTCCCCAGCCTGCGGGCAAGGGTTACTTCTCCGCAAGGCACGCATACGGACTTTTATTTGACGATGTCTAGGTGGTGCTTGGTATACATGTAAAACGTAGATTTTCATGAGAAAATAATCCTCTGCCTTTTTGTCTACTGGATAAAGGACATGGGTCCCTTGGAAAGCGTCCTCTAGACAGACAGATGGACCTCCAGACCTCAAGGCCTCAGGCACAGCACAGGCACCGGCCCAAACAACCCCCACCAGACCCCGCGTGCGTTTGAAGATAACACGAACCCCATGGTTCAAATTAATACTAGGACTGCAGGATATTGTTTAATCTGCACGATTGCTTTATTGTACAAAAAAGTTTCCAGTAACAGTAAATTAGTTTTAAAAAAGGACAAAAAAAGGCATGTTGGATAGAAGCGCTGCGCTAATTGCTTTATTTAAGCACACCAGAAAAAAGTCTTATCTGACCAATTAGGTTGGGAGGGTTTCATTACCTTCAAGAAGCCATTAGCCGGGAGGGACACTGAAAGCACCTGCGTCAGAACAAGCAACACTCTCCCAGCGAGCGCAGCGCAGCGCAGCAGCCTGGGACCGACAGGCTCGGCCTTGCGCCCACGGCAAAGCCGACCACACGTACCCCCCACCCGCCCCTCCGAATAATGAAACCAGAGACAGTCGACTCCAGCTACCATCTGGGCGCAGGGCGGGGGCTCTGGGCAACTGACCAGTGCAGCTTCCCACGTCCCCTCTCGCCAGGCGCGGAACCCCCAGGACTGGGAGCGGGGCAGGGTCCCTGCTGGCCCTCGTCTCAGGGCAAAGCCCCGGTGATGGGACAGGCCCACCGAGCCATCATCCCGGCCAGGGCCCTCACACAGATGGCGGCTTCGGCAGGTCAAGGAGCCAGCCCCTCCAGGGGAAAGGAATGGCCCCGAGGTTCCAGGACACCATGCCTGAGTCGCTCTTACCGTCCCCAGTGCCGATCTTCCTGCAGCAGGAAAATGCAGTGCTGGGAGGAGCCCGGCCAGCCAGGGTGCAGGCGCCAGGCGGCCGGGGCTCCCGCTGGCGCCGCCCTGGTGTCCACCAGAACGTGCGGCCCTTCCGCCACAGCGACAGCCTCAATGCCACTTCCAGTCAGATCCATGACTTTACCCAAACGGGCTGGGGGACAAAAACTAACCTTAATCACCCTATTCACTGCAAGTAAATATAAATAAATAGGGGTCCTTTCTCAAAGGGTCAATTTCCTTCAAGGTCAGTTAAGACAGCATCTTAAAAGCGTCAACAGCGATCCAGTTCTAGCACTAGAGACGCCTGGGAGGCGGGCCCCCGCTCTAAACAGCCCCTCTCCCGGAGCAGCTGGTCCGTAGGGGCCTGGACTCCACTGCTGGGCGAGGGTTAGCAGGGACAGGGAAGGGAGCGTCTGCGGCTACCTCGACATCTGCCGGAGCGCCGCCTGTCAGGGTGAGTGAGGCCAGGCTGGCTTCTTAGTCCCTGATTTTTCCTCCTAATAAATAACTGTGTGTCAGGAAACACGATGCCATCTCCTGAGATGCCAGGGACACCTTCAGGTCATCCTACAGCCACCTCACCAATAAAACAGGTGGTTCCCTGGTGCCATCAACGGCTTGGGGAGGGAGGGCTGAGACACCCTGAACCTCTGGACTCGAGTTTAAATTTCCAGAAACAACTTCAAAGTCAAATTCTAGAGAAGCGTTTTAGGTAACTGGTCGAAATAAAATGTAGCTCAGAGAGGTAAAAACAATGGAAAAGCTATCAAAAATTATACAAAAACCACTAAAACCCTACTCATGTCTCAAGGGCAATGAAAGCACGAACGGCTTCCATTTTCAGAGTCTTCCTTGCCTCTTGACACGGCCACAGCTCCAGGCAGGCACCGGAGCACCACAGCGGCCCCCCGCCCGCGACGGAGCCCCGCCCGGGGGGCCGCTCCGCCCGCACTCCGGCGGGGACCGCCCGGCCGGTCCGCACAGCCTGCAGGAAGGTGCCCCGCTCCCGGGCATGTGCGGCGGCGACGGGACAGCCCGTAAATCACACCTCTGGTGGAATATTTTACTTTGAAATGGAGTGATGTTTGGTTAATAATTTGAGACCCGAATGGGGTGGCCCATTTAGAATGGCCTCTGTGTGAATTCACAGTTCATGAAGTGCTGGCTGGTTTGAACAGGTCGTTATGCAGTTAGTACACAAGCAATGGACTGAGCAAGGATGGCCGGGGACGCACCCAGGGGCATACTGGCCGATTCTGGTGACTTTCGTGACGCTCCTCAGCTTCCTTTTAATGCGAGGTTAGTTCAGTCACCAACTTTGAAATGCAGGCGGTGTTGCTCAGCAGCCCTTCTGGCGCAGCGCGAGGCCTCCGACGAGGACCGCACCTTTCGCAACTGATTTAAACTTACAAAGCTGTTTTAACTGGCCCATCTAAATGTGTTAATTAACATCAATGATGGTTTCTTATTTTTCACACTTTGTTACTCTGATCATTAACAGTGATGGAAAAGTGAAATTAAGGTAATGGGGAACGGATTATAAATTCTTAAAGGACTTCTCGGTTTGTTTTCAGCTGGAAAATAAACAGAAAGATGAAGAGGCATTTTTGCCTCTACCCATACATTTTTGATACCAAATCCTGAAAACCCAAGTGGTTTTCAAAATTTTTTTTTCCAAAAATTATTTTACCACGCTGCTCAGACATGTCTGCTAAGAGAAACAGCACACACACAACAACATCGAACAGCCTGCGGAGTGCCCGCCCACGCTCCGCTCCTCTTCTCGCGCCGCAGGGACGCACCGCCACTGGTGACAGGACTCCACCTCCAGTCTGCGGCAGTGCCGAGGCCCTCCCGTTGTCGCCACTGAAGGAAACCAGAGGCCGCCCCCGCGGGAGCCGCGGAGTCCACGAGGCGGCCCGGCAGCACCCCCGCCGCGGGCAGCGGCGCGGCCCGACCTGATCCGCGCGGCGCACATACCCGGGCCGCTCAGCGAGACTTCACGCCGACGAGGACAACAATGAGGACGATGATGATGACAAATAATATTAAAATCACAAGCATCTTCCGATTCTTCTTTTGATACTGCTCTGCCTATAGAAAAAGGAGGGGGGGAGAAGGCGGTCATTTTCCCCAAAATCAAGTGTCCCTCGTTTCCAGCCCTAGGCTTCCTTCAGGTCCCTCCGAGGAGCCGACATCTAGGCTACTGGCTCCCTGGCTCCCTCCCTCCATCAGTCCGCGCGTGCACACAGCCAGCACCGAGGAGGGGCCCTGACCTGCTGCTACCCGGCCCCTCCCGCCCCCTGGGGACACTACTGTCCCAGGGGCGCTGATGCGGGGCTGGGACCTGCCACCCAGGCGCAGGCTGGCGGGAGAGGGCAAGGCCTGCCCTCCCACCCACGTCCTCCGCCGCTGGGGCCCCCGCTCTTCGGGAAAGCCCGGAGCGTGCAGCGCCCCCTTCACCACGGCGTCGCTCTGCCGCCTCATCGCCCCGCTGCCCAGCTCGAGTCCTGCCTCCCCGGAAAACGGCAACAAGGGAGAATTCAACCTTCGACGTAAAACTGGGAAGATGCTCCCCACGGGGGGGCCAAGTGCACAGAGCGCCCCCTGCCCCCAAGATGCGCCCCTGAGCCCCTGGCGACACAACAGAGGTTGTGTTCCAGAGCTCGGCAGGGCCAGGCTGCGCCTGTTCACGTCAGATGGACCGCAGGGTGCCGTCCCGCGACGCCGGGCCCCGCGCAGACGCCATGTGCAGCAGAGGAGAGAGCCGCGAGGGTGGCTGCAACACATCCAGAGACGGCCTGCTGGCAGCCCTTTCACTGTCAAAGGACAGTGACAGACAAGGAAACGGCCTCGGGGAAAACACCTGCCAGAAACACCCAATCTCTCCTGTCCTCCTTCCACGTCCCCCACACCTGACTGCAGCTTTGTTTGCCCGGTGGGCCACGCCTCCTCCTAGGACCACTTGTCAAGCCGGGAAACATCAGGACAGACAGGACTTGCGAGTCCAGCTGCCGGTGTGAGGCGACACCCGACTGCCAAGGAGACGGGCAGCTGCCTCCCGACAGCAAGGTGACATGGGAGATAAGACGAGCACGCCTCCTTTTCCAATAAGTAGCCCAGAACACCAAGGAGGCCACCACTAAATGATATGCTTTAAAACCTCTCAAAATGATTTATAAAGGAGAACCTCAAACAAAATTTTAGTTCCCACTAGGTCTGTACACTCCCCGGACAAGCTTTTCCTTTTATCTGCGTTATAGTACAAAACGTGTTCTACCAGATTTTAAGAAACTTCACGAGCAACGCGGAGTCCCACAGCAGATCAAAATCTGGGTATCAGAGAGTGAGAAACTCAAGTCAGTTTCACTCTTCTAACAGACAAGAGCCGGCCACCAAATGAACCTAGACACTTCCCCAGCGCTCTGCTCACACAAGGCAAGCCTCTCCTTCCTCGTCACGGGCTGGGCTGGGACACCGTGTGGGCAGCGACACACCAGGAGAACCAAGGGCTCCTGGCAGACCTGTGCCAGCCTCCGCGGTGCCCAGTGCCTCTGCGCGAGGGGCCCTCGCTGCTGGAGGAGGGGGCTGGTTGCCGACAAATGACAGGGTAGTTCATGAATGAATTGGAAAAATGCTCAGGATGTGGCAGAAATACCAGTGGGTGTCAAAGATACAAAGAGATGAGCAGAATTTACTGTATGTGTGAAGCATTACCTTCCTTTTAGAGCAAATAGGCACCCAATTACACAGAGGAGCCACTCGGCAGTGTATGGGTGTGTTTCTCATAAACGATCACAAGAGTTCTAAGATGCTTTTCATTTATTTTTAACAAATATGAAAAATATTCCTGAAATAGCCACCTTATTAGCAAAGAATAAAAGAGCTAATAATACTCTCATTTCAACAAACTATTCTTTTGTCAAGGTAAGCACACAGATGCACTGCGGTAATTAAAAGGGAAAATTAGATTTCTATCTTCTGCAGGGTGATGCTCCCGCAGCAATTCATCAGAAATGTGTCACCGCACGAGGCCGTACGGCCTCCGCGAGCACACAGGACAGTCGGCTGCATTTTAGCGAATGCCCCGACGACTGATTTCCTAAAACAAGACTCAAAGAATGAAATGTTTTCTAAAAGGAAGAAAACCCCCGTTCCTCTAGAATTTACTGTCAGGGAAGGAAGTTCTCAGCAATTTCAAACCTAAGCGCGAGGTGCCCCCGGAAACACCAATTACAGCAAAGCGGCCACGGACCACGCAGCTGGTCCTGGGTGAAACCACACCGTCCGCTTGTGCACTATTGTACCGAGAGTCACAAGGGACAAGAGTGCTGAGGACATCTGTGATGGAAGACACCCCCGTATGAATCCTTCATATCGGATAACATTTCCTCAAATTCTCAACTACTGAAAGACAGGGTATTACCTTGTGAAGCTCTTTCAAGCCGTCCTCAGTTCTGATACAGGACTGTTCAACATTATAATCAATTCTATCAAGGACTGTGCCCTGGTGATAAAGGACAGTGACAGACAATCAGCAACACGCGGGGAAAGCGGACTCAGAAACACTTGCCGCCAGGCACGGCAGTGTCTGTGTGCTCGGCTGCAATCAAGTCTAGCTCATGAGGAAGCAGGACTGACACACTGAGGTTTCTGTTTTGGATTTCGCCACTGCAGAATGTGCTGCATTCAGACTTCCTGGTGCTTTAAAAAATATACAGTTCAGTGGAGACAGGCTCTGAGCAGCAAAGGGCGAGCGACTGTGCCCACCTGCTGCTTAGATTCAGGGAGGCAGAGTGCACCAGGCTAGCTAGGCCCGGTTATGATTAGGCCCGGAAATGGACCGCCATGTCTACAGACGTCAGCGCAGGTCTCCATGGGTCAGAGCAGGGACAGTGAGCGCCAATCCACCATGTGAAATCTCACATCTGCCTCAAGTGGACTTTTGTTCGTAATTGTTTAATCTCTTGGTTCAGACAGAGAGCAGGGCGCACGGGGCTGGACGGAAGAGCAGGCTCTGAACGGAAGCACGCTGCATTAGCGGGAGGGCAGCGCAGTGCCCTGGGAGCCGCGGCAGTAATTAATGCAACCAGATCTTCCGCAGCCTCAACGCTCCGCTCCCGGCTGGTTTCAGGGGGATCAGGACCCAAATCCCTATTGGCAAGATAATAAAATACCCTAATCAGATTGTAACAGTGAACAAACAATTTAATTCCGCTTGAAAGCTAGTGGTTCCAGTCGCCATCACGCAGTAACCTGCCAAAATTAGAAGGGAAACCTTATCTGTTGCCAGAGTCATTGCTGAGCGTGGGCAGAGCCACCCAGGCCCCCAACAGGGGCGCGCGCGCTCATGAGCACCCCTGGGGCAGAGAACATGAGGACTTCTGCAGACATTTATCTATCCAAAAAAAGGTTTCCTGTTTTGTTTTGGTTTTTGTTTAATATAAAGGATGGAAGCAGTATGTGTATATAATTTGTACATATATACGTGTATGTACATGTGTGCACACACACACAGACATACTTTGGGGAGCAGGTTCAAATTGAGTGCAGAGTCCACAAAGTCTGGAGAAGGACCAGTTTTTATGGCAGGAAAACCCATGGCTGAGGAAGGCAAGGGAACGCACGTACCTGCTCCACGATCATCGCTCCCAAGTCCCTGAATATTTCATTGAGGTCAGAAATGGACTGCACAATCTGGCGGATCTCCCGCTCCCGCTCCTCCACCATCAGCGTGTTCTGCTCCACCAGCGCCAGCTGCTCGTCTGTGAAACCCTAGCCAAGCAAGAGTGCAGGATCCTTATGTCAGATTCCTCCCCCTCAAGAACACTGCCGTGTACCATCTTAGACATGATCGAAAGAAAATGATTTCTAGAAACAGTTCTGGAAAGCACAAACAACATACACACACTTCTTCTTCCCTAAGGAGAGAGCCACATTCCCAGAGCAAGCGGGACCTAGGGCGGGAATGGCTGAAGCGGGCACAGGGCGAGGCCTCCTGCCTGCAGCTGCGCAGGGTCGGGCGGCCAACCTAGCAGGGAGAACCCCGCGCGTCCGCCCCCAGGTCCCAGTGGGCAGTTACGCGGTCTCCCTGGGGGCCGTGGGGAGGACGCAGCAGCCGGGTCCCTGTGGCTGTCCTTCCACTGCTGGGAAAACTACAGGTGGGCCTGCAAGTCGCGCGCCACGGCTCCGCTCGCCTCGTGCCCAGGTTACAGGCCTATGATGAGAAGAGAACAGAACGCAGCCCCTTCACGCACCCGATCATAAAGAGTAGCATCGTCTCCATCATCCATCAGTGGCACTGACGTATCGAAGAAATGCTGGGATCTCTCCTCTCGGTTCTTCATGCCTACCACAGACAGGAAGTCACTTTACTCGAACATGCAAACCATCCCGGTTACCGCTCCGCCATTAGGAAGGGGAATCTAGATTAAACTCAACAGTCAAAATGGAGGTGTTAGCAGCTTCTCAGGTGTGTGTGTGGGGGGGATGAAAGTTTATGAACACAACAACATGCAAGCATTTTGGGTTAGTCAAGGCAAAAGGACACTGTAAATGTGTACGATTCGCTTGATGCCAAGTAAATGACAAAATGACACAACCATCTGAGAATCAGTGAAGCAAAATATTTAATCTATCTGCTGTTACAAAACATTTTTAAAATTCAGTTATTTTTCTCTAGAAGCATCTCTAGTAGAGATTCCAAATGGCTCTAAATCAAATTTTTGAAGTAATAAAATACAAATATGCAGTTGTCAAACCGAGGAAGGACTGGAGTTTTGAAGAGCACGCAGGGACATTATTGAGTGCAATGGAGAGAAAGAAGAAAAAGTTTGCAGAACGCAGCTGAATGGACTGCGCTATTTGGAATCCCAGCCCCCCGGCCCTCAGGCTCAGAGGAAGCGCTGAAACCACCCCCAGAAAGGCTTCTGGGCCGCTCTCAACTACTCTGGTTGCTATGGAAATATGGAGCTTTAGTGTGATTACGACTAGTTTCACCTATTAATTAGCAGCTCCCCATTCCGACACCTAGAAAGCTACCGGTGGTTACGTGTTCTAAGGTGAGGTCAAACTCTTCAAGCCTGCCGGCGAGGCCGCACTCACGTTTCAGGTAGCCGGCCTGCGCGTGCCGGAAGCCGCTGGAGAGCTCCTGCAGCACCTGCGCCAGCGAGGCCACCACGTTGCGCAGCAGCCGCTCCTCCTGCTCCGAGCAGGTCCGGCGTGCCCGGCTGGGCAGAGCCTGCACCGCGCGCTGGCACCTGTGGAAGAGCTGAGACGGCCCCGAGTGCTCGTACCTGTCCCCGCGCGAGGTCCCCGAAGCCGGAAAGCTGCTTGGATCAACCAGCACAGGGAGAGGCGAGCAGGGCACAGTTTGCAGGCGCGGCGCTGCGTCAGACGCAACTGCAGCGCTGGGTGCACACGCCCCAACCCACACGGACACCCGCCCTCCCAGGCGGCACGCATTATCACTCCCACTTTGCAGACAGAGCCCTGGAGTCGCAGGGGAAGGAGAACCGGGCGGGCCCCTGTGCCGCTGCCGCGGGCCAGCATTCAGCAGGGCAGCACCCGGGAGGCTTCCCGCAGCGCCAGCCCCAGCCCCCTGCTCCTCCTGAGCGCCCGCAAGGTGTGCACCAACAGGGCACGTATCTGCCGACATCTGGACACTGGTTATAGTGCTTATAATCACTTAAATTTAACACTTTACAAGAGACTTTTTCCCCCAGGATACTAATATGCTCAAGTCTAGGGCGGAAACTCTCAACCTCCAATTATGAGAGCCATTTTTAACACAGAAAACGTTTCAGCACTAGCACACGGCAGAGGTTATAGACATTTTTAGGTCTCATGATCGAACTTACTAATGCTCTGGGTTTACTTTTTAAACTCAATCCAGAGTAGTAGCTACAACAACGAAGAACAGTCCCCTCTCCGCCAGACACGGGCTCCTTCACTCGCCCACGGGGAGCCTGGCGCCGCTGCAAGCCCCTTCCTGACCTGGCCTGGGTGCCCCCGCCGCGCTCACCTGCGTCACCTCCTGGGTGGTGATCTCGATGGCGTGCTCCTGCTCACTGCTGTCATCCAGGGTGGGTCTGTTCAGATGCTGGTCGTGTAGGCTGGCGAGTTCCTTCATCTTCTGTTTGATGCGGCTGACATCATACTGGATCTAAGCAAACGAAAGCACACGGCTCGACCACCGGCTGCGGGCGCCTGCCGGCCTCCGAGACAGCCGGGCACACTCGGCTGCTGGCTGCTGCCTTCGGCCAACTGGTAGGCTGCCAAATGCACGAGCAACTCTTCATTCAAAGATCCAGAAATTCAAATACCACTTCTCCATGTCTCACAGCGCTTCAGCGTCTCCCTAGAGCTCGTGGAGTTACCACTCCACCAAAATCACGCACACCGCCGCGCCCTCCCTCTCTCGTGGCATGCACACTCGGTTAACTGAAAGCTGAAGTCTGGCCATGCATTTAGGCGTGCCCAAGTCAGTTTTTTTCGGCAAATGTCTTAAAATAGGTTAATGTCACAATTTCTTAAATAAATAAGATAGTGTGAAACTAACATTCAACTTACTTCATCCACTCCGTCCACCCATTTAGGAGGTGACCATTTTGTCACGCCAATCGCTGCTTCTGGGTCTAAGCTAATGCCTGACACCAGAGCCATTCGGTCGTCGGCGAGCTACCGGGAAACAAAAGGACAGCGTGAAAATCGCTCAGACCCGGTCTAGCTAAGCACGTGCTTATTACTGCCTTCTAAGTGTCTCTCCCTACGAAAACGCAGAAATGGAAGAGTAAGCACACTTGCCTGACTAGACTCTTGCTTTTGAGACTGCTAACATTGGAACTGTTTCTCTATCTTTTCATGCACCAGTTCTTAATTTTCTTGGATACACTTGTGAAACATGAATTTGACTTGATCTGCCTATAGAAATGTAATAAAAAAGTCAACAAAAGCGCCTTAAAAGAAGTTTCTTAGTACTCAACAATTAATTTGATCAGACACAAGTTAAAAACAAATAACTCAGCTGGGATATAAAGAACAGCATGGGGAACAGAGTCAATAACGCCGAAAAAACTCCACGTGGCGCTCGGTGGGCACTGCAAACCCCAGAGAACGCGCTCTGCGCAAAGTGTATTACTGTTTACCGCTAACGTCGCACACCTGAAAGGAGCACAAAATAATATTAAATGTAAACTGTAACTGAAAACTCTTTTTAAAAGTAAAAAAAAAAAAAATACTAGGCTGTAAATGTAACAAAGTTCAATGGTGGTAACGTTTACTTACATATATTCAGCTTATTTTGGAAACAGGGCTGATCCAGTTAACTTGGTCACAAGATCATTAACCATGTGTTAAAGTGTGTGAAAGAAATGCTTAAACAGTTAGCAAATTATCTACCATTTGGCAAAAGCAATCCTTAGCGTCTCAATGCAGTCTCACATTGTCATTTCTTTTCTTCGGTTAAATGTCCGCAGGCAACGTTCTTGCCGCTTTTGGAATGCCAGCGATGGTCCTGGCTTATTTTACCCATACAGTGCATGGCCCGGGACACTCCGGATGGGGGAGATCACAGCTTTGGGGCTTGGGGATACGGGCTCTCGCCCGGAGGCGGGGACCGGGAAGAAAGGCTCTGGAGGCGGCCTCTGGGCGCAGGATTTATAAATGCCCGTTTCAAAGCGTCCAAATGAGGATCAAAAATAATGGGAAACAGCTCATAAAAGTCCTCTGTAGGCAACACTTTGCACATTTTCTGAACAGCACTGCAATACTGGATAAGGAATTTAGATTGCCTTTCTTCCCCCTCCTTGCACTTGCCTAAATTTACTTTTTCATTCATTCATTCATTCAGCAAATACCCTACTTGTTTGCTTTTCACCAATGAAGGAACTAGACAAAAATTTTAAATCCACAGATGAAGAGGGGGAAACACCACCTAAGGAAAAACAGAGTAAAAGCTTTCTTCCAGCCATGGGCCCTGAACCCTGGACAGGGAGGGGACAGCAACTTCCTGCACGCAGTTGGGGGGCCTTGCCTCTGTCCCCCGCACCCCGTGGGGCTCTGCCCCGTTTCCTAGGGCATCTGTGCGTTCAGGGAGCGTGCTAAATGCAAGGACAGCGCGAAGGGACCAGAGCCCCCGCTGCTGCCCTGGAGTCTGAGCTGCGACTGCAGCACCGCGTTCCAGCCACGGGGACACTGCGGGCCCAGCGGGCCCTCGGGCCTGAGAACAAGAAGGCCCTTCGGTCGGCCGCCCGCCGCTCGCGCTCCGTGCGTCTGCGCCACCCTCCCTGGAGCCACGTTCGTCGTCGGGAGTTCACTAACAGGAACGTTACGCTGCTTTCAGGATTTAATCCTCACAAAAGCTAGGTGAGCCCGGGACCCCATTTTTCCAATCCATAAGTGAGGAAATTGAAACTCAAAGAAGTTAAGCACCTGGCCTAAGGTCACCAAGCTATTAGTGACAGAGCGAAGCCCGGGCGGGCCGACGCCAGGAGCGCCATCCACTCCACCAGCTGCCAATCACTCTGACAGGCCCATGAAATAGAACTGCAATTTGCTAAGAAAACAAATCAGGACAACAAACCCTCAGATTAAAACGACAACACAAAACAGGCCTCTGATCCCTATCAGCTCCCCACCAACAGCACCGGAACCACAGGATGGGCCCCTCCATGCGCAAGCACATAAATGTCAACAAAAAGCAAAAAGCAGCCTCTCCAGCTGACGTCAGTGGACACAGGGACAAGGCACAGACCTCTCATCCCATCCAGGGCAGGCGCAGTGTGCGGCAGAGCTGCTCACTCCTCAGGTCCTGCTGCTAAGGGTGACTCTGCGGAGGGCACCCTGACCAAGGCACAGGGACGACCCCACATCTAGCCCCCAGCGGCAGCCAGCTCTACAGCCTGTGCTGGACACGGACGCGCTGCCTGCCTGGAGCCAAACTAGAACTTAAGACTTCCGGCTGTTTGTACAAAGCAAAACCTAAAACGGCTAAGGTACCTCTTCATGAGTCCTGGCAGTTTACTATCTAACCCACTGTATTTTACCAATACTCCGTATTTCAATAAAGCAATAATAGTCATTTGTTTCATTTGTAGTTGTTAACCACTTTTTACAAGTATACGTTAAACTAAGAGGTAGAGGTGTTACCTAAGTCACACGCACAGCGGTGAGTATCAGCTTATCCGAAACAAGTGGGAGATTCTCAGTTGCATATGAAGTCAGTCGAGGTAGATTCAAATCAACTCTTTTAAGCAATACCTGATGTTATACAGTAAGTGCCCCCCACCCCCCAAAATGCATGTAAATCAGGTCTGGGAAAAAAGGAAAAAACACTGTGAGGGGTCCTGTCCATACGCGACAGGGACGGGGCGAGATGCCGGCCCACGTAGCTGGCCCCCGTGTGCCCACGCGCTGTATGAGGGTTTCTCGGGGAGGCGAACGGCCGATGCTTTGGGACTGCAAACTTTAAACAGGGAGCCGTCTGCCCCTCTAGGACAGCGCCCACAGCAAGAGCTCGTGGCGAGGAAGAGGCACAGCCCTACTCAGGCGGAACGTGGTGTCTGCTCCCGGTGTGGACGTGGGATCCGCATCGCAGTTTGTACTTGTTTTCTTTTAGAAAAAGACCACATTTACAGGAGGAAAAACACAATGGAAGATAAATGCCAGTTATTTAAAATGGAAACAAATATGAACATAAAAATGTATTTTAAGTGCAAAATCACCCTTTCAACGTCAGAAATCCCACTTGCCATTTCAAGACATGTTATCGTAGGGTATCAAGATCCAGGACATCTCAGTTTTTAAGTTGCCATCTTGGTCGATACAGACTCTGAGGAAACTGCCAGGTTTTTAATTCTCTTTATTTGTCCTTGCGGAACTTCAACTTAGTCCCCCTTCCAGATAGATGGTGTTGGTGATTAAAGCTTTTCTTAAAAGAAGTTGTGCTTTGGAAGTTAAAGAAAAAATTCTTTCCATATTTGTTAAATAAGAAAACTTTTTAAACAAAAAGTTGTACTTATGAGAATGAAGACTTTAATAACTTGCATCTCTTCGTGGGTAGCTGTCTTCCAAGAACTCTGGGGGTGGCCACCCCAGCGCCCGGCCGTCTGACTCGACCTCCCCAATGTGGCAAAATTCCGACAGCTGCTCCCCCAAGAGCACAGCCGATGGCTTCTCGCTAGTTTCACCAAGTTATCTCTGCCCTTGAATCCACATGAGCCCATGACACGGGTGCCCCACCCAGCACCTGCCCCACCCAGCACCGTGCTGTTCCAAACACCCAGCCTTCCTACGTGTAGAGAACCCTGCCTTCTGGGAGGGCTGATGGAATGGACCGTAAGATGCAGGAAATGGCAAAGCCTCTGCGGAGGTTAAAAAATCAGATACACGCCCCCCCCCCCCCCCAAAAACAACAGACTGAGTTCAGCCATAATGCTACTCAGCAGCGACACTGACGTTCGGGGCTGCCTGTGGCGACGAACCTTGAAAAAGTCCAGAAGGGACGTGGAAGGTGGCAGACAGCCTGGCCACTCGCGCCTCCACGCAAGCTGGCCTCGGAGCGCGTGTGATGGGGCCGGGCCCGGGCCTCGCGGCTGGGCCTCCGAGGCTCGATGACGGTCGCCCGCGGACCACGAGGCGGGAGCCTCCGGGCTCTGAGGGAGCGAATAAGCACGTGGGGAAGAGGCAGGACGCCAGCGCTGCCGCTTGTTTTTTGATCTGGGACACTCTTAAAATCGGGTTTACTTGTTGGATTATGAAATAATAAATGTTCAAAACAGACTTTTTTTAAACGTGCAGAAGTATAGAGATAAAAAAACTCGAGAGGCACAGCACTCACACGTAAATGTGGCTGGCTCGGTGGACTTTCCTTTCTCCTCAGCAATTATGCACCCTCAACACCACCGAGGAGGGAGCAACGAGAGCCTGTGCTCGGTGGGCACTGCGCTTCCGTGGCCGCGGCCTCCTCAGTCCCAACAAGCCTAGACGGGGACCGGGCATGGCTCCCCGTTTCACACGCAGGGACACCCGAGCCCCGTGGGGCTCAGGGGCTTCTCAAAGCCACCCCCGGCCATGCGACCAGGGCGCCCAGCCTGCAGCCCCCTGTGCTTACCAAGTCACCCTGCCTTCCCTGGGCGTGTGGTCTGGGGGCTTGACATCAGCTTCTTGTCATTTTTGAACGTTCCTACTTAGAATCTTTAAAACCCAACAACCAGAGGGCCGACTCTACAGAGATCTAGGAGAACGTCGGACGCGTCCTCCTCAGGGACACCTTACTCGGCGTCTCCGGAGGAAGACGGAGGACCCCGGGCCCCCCCGGGGTACATTCCGAGCTGGTTTGCACAGAGCGACCGTGAACGTGGACAGACCACAGGAAGCCATCAGATGAGACGGCTTCCCTCGCGGAGGCCCCAGGGACGCGGCCGGGAAAGCTGGCTCGGGCCTCCCCGTGAGGACGGGCCCCCGGGGCCCAGCGGCGCCGAGCTCGCCACTCCTCGCCCAGGAGCCCTCCCGGCGAAGCCCTGGGCCGCCCTGGCCAAGCAGGCTCCAGACGGCATGCCCAGGGCGCGCCTCCGCGCCTGCCACTCCACGTAGTCAGTACACAAGTATAATGAGCTGAGTGAGTCGACAACAAATGGACAGAGGGAATGAATGAAGTAAATGGACCCCGAGGTCTGCCC